TTTCAACACCGGTCCTTCAAACGAAGTTTTGAAAGACATAAAAGCTTTTTTTAAATGTTAGAGAAAATGGTCACTGAAATGTTTTTTTTTCGATCTTTATACATAAATTATAATAAAAAGATTTATTAAATTTGTCAAGGTCGCGGCCCTAAGTAGAAAATAGTATAATTAATTATTACTATTTAAATTGTAGAATAACGTTATAACAACATTTTCTAAGAAATACTGTAAAAAGTACAATAGTAATATTAAATCAATATTCCGTTCGTATAGACGCTAATAATAATAAAAATACGAGGATTAAAATGATTAGATATTCCGCTATTTGCAAAAAAAAAACTTCCCGATTAAAAAAATAAAATAAGAAACCTTTGTTTGTTAGTGAACTTTATAATCAATCAGTAATTATATATATATATACACTCTTATGCTTCATAATATACGTATCTACCGGGATTAAAGCTTTTAACAATCCACTGCGATTGAATAGTGTGAATTTAAAAAATTAGGTCAATTATTACGAACATATATCAAACAAAGATGTTCATTAATTGCGGCCAAGGTACCTTTGATGTTAGAATGGAACAAAGAATGATTGGATCCCATGATGACAACTTCATGTTTTTTCATGTAATTCCTGTTCATTGTAACTTTGTTTCGATCGCATAATATGTGCAAGTAAATATGAATCTTACAGCTAGCATTATAAATAGTATATTTGTTTGCAAATAAATACAAATTATAGTACTTACCTTGTACATTTATTGTACTTAGCTTCGATGCTTCTTAAGCGAGATATGTAAAAAGCGACCTTCACTACTTCATGCTTGTGGGTGAATGACCCACATTAACTGCACGGGATATGGTAATATCTGACATAATAATTATATTTTTGTCACAAAAAATATAAGTGATATTTAGACAGAAAAAAACGGACGTTGATAAATTGAAATAAAGCTTAGATTGTTAGAGGTGATTTAATATATATTTTAAACTTGGTCTCAGAATAATAATAAGAAGGAAGTACATATAGAATATAATTTTTAAATTAAAAATAGATAGTGGGGGTTTCAGTTTTTGAAAGCTACCATGAAGCTTAAGTCGTACTCTGAATCTTTTTTCTACTAAAGAGAGGTTGACAGTTTTTATCGTAAAAAGTAAAAATATATTTAATAATTACAGTAATTAATGTTTGTTGTATAACATTAAAAAAAATTGAATAGAGCTTTCGTTCTATTTACGTTTACGTCAAAAAAATTATGGGAGTAGGATTAAATTTTTGTCGTCGTTTTTTTTGGTAAACGCTTTTAAATTACTGTTTTGTTTCTTGGTGATTTAAATTTTAATATTATTAAAAAACGCCTGTATTAACATGCACAGTAATAAAATATAAAATTTATATTGAACACGTACGAATAACAATAAAATTTTTACACGATAAACACATAATATTTATGTATATACAATGTCTAGCGTGTCTCGAGATATATGCATCACCTTGGACTAGCTATTACATGCTGTGACCAAAATAATAAGGCTTTAACGATGTACTGAGACGTGTTGCAAGCGTTACGCAACACAGAAAGCACATTTACAAAATACTTAACATTATCTGTAGAAAGTGCATATCATTTATATATACCAACTTTCATAGTCATTGTTTACAATGTGAATATAATGATCCATAATGTTTGGTTTACTGGTGACATTATTGTTTAAAATTAAAGTTTTATTTCAACAAGGTTATATAAAAGCATATGTTTAAATTGTATATTATATTACGAGAAATACAAGCCATTAATTTCTCTTGGGGATACCTTATTAGTACCTAAATTATAGTGAGGCACTTCCTTTGCTTAATTCTCTGGCCTTCGTTGCGGAGTCAAGGTGCTGTGAGCTCTGGTTCTTTATAAAGGCCTTGTCACTGTATAAATGTTTATATTACGTCAAAATTTTACGAAAAATTTATAGTTTATTTATTCAATGAAAGACAAGAGGAAGAGTGTTGTAGGTTTTAATTTTGTTTATACTAAACTAGCTTTCCGCCCGCAGCTTCGCCGCGTGGAGTTCGGTTATATCGCGTTTCCAAGAGAACCTTTCAAAAGTCTGGGATAAAAACTATCCTATGTTCTTTCTCAAGGTCAACTCTATCTCTGTACCGAATTTCATTAAAATCAGTTCAGTGGTTTAGGCGTGAAAGCGTAGCAGACAGACAGACAGACAGACAGACAGAGTTACTTTCGCATTTATAATATTAGTAGGGATGATGTGACAAAACGTTTTTCATGATTTGAACACTATATAGACGAAACTAATTAAAGTTTCAATACGTTTATTTTGTAGAAGTTATAAAGTGATATCGTAGTGTTTATATAAAATAATATCTACTATCAATAGATTAAATGTAATTAGCCGTCACAGAACCAAATACATATTCATGATTCGACCTATTTCAATTAATATTATTAAGATGCAAATTCATCTTTACCATTAAATATAAAATGCTTATGTTTGAAATAATTCTGGTAAATTATCAAATAACAAGTATTAATCGCGGAAGACGGAAGCTAACAGAACCGGTTTACTTACCCACAGCGTATGAGCGTGTATGTTAATATGAACTAGTGATGTGTAGAAAACCGACTTCATGAACAAAATATATAACACAATAATTAAATGTATAATTATTCTGAAAAAAATTAATAGCTTCTATCGACAAATTGCGATTAAAAATAATTTTAAAAGAAAATACTTAAAGCTCATAACTTTATGTAAAAGAAATATATAGATTGTTTTTGTTACAATTTAGTTTTATAACAGCTTAGCATAATAATTACACTGTCTAACTGAACAAGACTCATTGGCAGACATTTACATTTCGTGAACCCATCAAAAAGGTTACTGGAATTTAATTTAATATGAAGAATGACATATCTAAGTACAAATAAGTATAACATACATATTTTATATGAATACAAAAAAAAAACAGGTTAAGACAAAATAATCGCAAAATCGCCCGTCTACAAGTGTCAGGTTATGCTTCTAGCGTGTGATAACTATGACATGTCCGTAATACCATATCCATTCATGGCTAATACAAGTTTTATATGAATTGTGTAATATTATAAATATGTCTTATGATGTTATATGTTATTATAGAATTATGATGGCTTAAACAAATTTAAAAAGCCTATGGAGATCTGAAGAAATACTTGAAATCATCGTTTTTTACATTTTTGCATGAAAGAGTGACAGGTATACTAACATGCATATTCATGTGTTTTTGCATTCATACGTCTTCATAGTATGATTTATCTACATTAACTGAAGTTGTGTTTAGATATAATATAGAAATAAAACTAAGTTTAAACATTTGAATAGCAAAACAGTATTCGTACTAGTTGTGGGGGTCGTTGTCTGGCCTCTAACAGATTTTACACAAATTTTATAACCCGATATAACAATTCGCTTCGAATGTAATTGAATGAAGTTATAAAGTATCATTTGTGTGCTAACAATAATACTATGTAGCCTTCGGTATGTAGGTGACAACATTGACAATTTAATGTGGACATAACTTAGATATTAGCATTGTTTTGTACCTCAAGTTAAAATAAGTTTTTGTTTTTCTAAGGTCGCTCGTTTCTAGGTCGGGTGGACAACAAATTATTTTATGTTATGATTTATATGAGTTTTGACATTTATGTAATAGGACTGGCCACAAAATGTGTTGTTTACAGTTCCTGTAGTAGATGTCCTTCTATTGAGGATTTGTTTTAGCTAAATGTATTGTTACTAACAGCAAAATTTAAATCAGTGAACTTTGTATGTTCGTATTTGTTGTTCAATGATCAAATTTACAACCGTCCATGCATCGTTGTAATGTAATTAACATAAATAAAAGCTATAACAGTACGGTACAACGTTAAATATCATAATAGTCAGACCTTACTTAAATCACGTTTTATTACGAAACTTAAACATCTGGAGCTATTCTTTGTATCAATAAGCATAAATATCACTTCACTTCATATAATAATTGTTTTAGATAAAATAAGATATCAAAATTAACCTCTTTTTGATAAAAAACTAAATAAAATTAATTAGATTTCGATGACATAAATATTATGTATTATGTTTTTTTGTCGACATTTTTTATTTTTCGATTATTTTACAGTAATGTTATTGTGGGAAGACAAAAACACTTTTTTTCTTAAAAAAAACTACATATAAGTTAATTTAAAAAGCGTTATAATTTATAGAGTACACAGAACAATCTTTTACGAATCATGTATTGTATTTTCTGTGATTTAAATTTTGGCCACCGTATATATCACTTAATTGTGTAAATCGCTAAGCAAATGTTAACTACTATTGAAATAATTGCACGAACTTGACACAATTGCCTGATTATGACCGATTTATTACAAATTATATGTTGCGTGCCAAATTCTATCTGAATTCTTAGTGGCTGTTAAAGAGAGTGTTCTTTGTTATAAAATTTGATTCTATTGCTCTTATTTTTATAAAGTTGAAGCAGTCGTGCAAGTATTATTTTATAGCCATATTCGTATCAGGTTTAATACATTGTAATTCCTCCATTGTACTCTCATCACACTATTTCGCAATCGATTCGGTTTCAATGTAGATTGTGGGACATATTTAATAGCCTGTTAGTATAATCTGTTTCTGCAAATTATAGTTATAAATCGTTGAAACTCTAACGAGTAGTGTTTTCTCATAACGTCCTAAAACAGAACGATATAAAATATTACGCCATTATCACAACATTGCTTCTCATTTAAGTTCTGTAGATACAGTAAAAGTTTTAATTGTCCTGTCTGTCGACTATCTTATCTGATATTACAAAACTGTATAGCATATCTGTCTTCTATTTATCTTTGTATATTTTATCAGTAATTCTTCTAAGTACGGGACATGATCCGCTGAGGTGGCCATAGCTAAGGTGTCGCAATTCACACTTCATTGGGTTACAATATATGCTCGCGGTCAGTTTGACCACAGCTATTCGTGTCGCTTGTCTGCGAAATGACTTATTTGTATAAAACATTACAAGTACGTTGGTTGTTTTGTTCAAAATATTCGTATATACCCATTATAAGAAAACGCAATCAACGCCTTATATCAGTTTCTGAAAGAGCTGATCTTTAGGCTGCTGGCAAATTTTAATCAAACATAGGTAAAATTCTCTGCAAGGAAACTTGCTTTCCAATGAGAACAACAGCATTGAAATCGGTCTATCCGTTTGTAAGCTACGAGGCCACACGCACGTATTCACATCGACGACAAACTTATTTACTACTTATAAAAAAAATACGGAGTCTCCATTCAATTATGTTTATTTGTATTATATATAAGATATTTTTCAGAAGTCTATCGTTTTTTAACACACGTTTTGTGTATTAAAATCTTGATTAATCTAAAGTTTTAGTATCAGAATGCACAGTTTAAAGTATAGTAGTTGTATTTATATTGTTAAATTTATGAAATACCACTGTTTGACCAGTTTTACTAGTACGTGATGTTGATATAATAGGCCTCTGTCTCACGTAGCCACTGTAATCGTCCTTGTGAGGATGTTGAATTGTAGATTGCGGCTAGTTTGAAGGATTTATGAACATAATTAGGTAACTAAACCTTGTTCTATTAATACAAGGAACTGCAAACGTTGTTGTGTATCTGTTTTTTCCATTTTTATTTTTTCTGTTTTGTTTTTGTATTTTGAAAATTTCTGATTTCATTTCAAAAGAGTTTCATCGTAGTTTTTTGAAAATATATAAAAAGTATCGTATATAATTATGGAGTCTATTAAATGTAGTGACAAACTACAAAGTAAGGCATTTATTCTTTAGAAACAATATAATACTGCTCTATAATAAAACATTCAGTAGCTCGCCTCGGAACAAAGTCTGCATAAGCTAGGCTTTAAATATAGTCTAGAAAGTTGAGACTAACTGCAGTATTGATAATACTTTGCTGCAGTAAAATAGACAATTGAATAAATTTCCCCTCAGGGTGCAAATATAGGAATATTATTTGTAACTAATTATTTCTAAAATAATAAACTATTGGTTGAATAGTTAGTTGAATTGTATGTTACGAAAGATAATTAACAATTGAATTTGAAAGTTTATATTTCTAATTAAATGTTTATTAATCATTTAAGAGCATAATTGTCCATGAGTGACCATAACAAGAGTATTTTAAAACAAGTTCACAAATATTTCTTGTTTCGGTTCAACCCACAAATTATTGTAACCCTTGCGACATTTATTTGCATACTATTATAGATACGAATATTTTAATAAGTAAGTATTTTTCGTAACATTACTTTATTCAAACTATACCTAGTTAAAATTCTTAAATGGTACTTATAAAACAATGTTTTTCTTTGAAATAAGTTGTTTGTTTATATCAATATGTGTACTAAAATTGATGACTAATAATGCCTGACCTGGGTTCAAGCGACCCGCCTTCATCGAACCTTGTTTGAGGTCACATATCAAGTTCATATGTTGCTAAACCAGTTGCGTGTGAGTTACGTAATTTCCGCAATTTCCGTTCACTATTGGCAAAGCGGAATTGCAATCTGTTAATCAGATAAATTTGTGGAAATTGCGCATTATTAAAGTATTTTTATTACGTTTATGGACGTTTTGATGATTATAAATATGTTCACTGGCTTTGATTGTTTTAGGAAGGTGTTATAAGATATTTTTCGTTTAAGGAAATGGTTCATTTTATCACAAGTTTAAAAAAAGTCGATTTGCTTTAGATAAAGTACAGTAATAAATTGTTTTGTACTGTTTGAACAAAATTTTCAAAAGATTAAGCCAAAGTATGGAGGGCTTATTGTAAACACTCTCTGCCTAATATATGGACGTATGGACATGATTTACTTATTTAATATAGCGTGTAAAGTTTTCCTTCCATTCCTATCACATCTAATGGTATAGTAGAGAATAAGACAGATTTAAATGAAATCAAAAGGAACATGAAAAAGATTATTCTTATCAATTCTCTTTGTTTAATTTAGAATATCACGTGGCGAGTTCGCGAAAGGAACTGTTGAAAGCACAGTATAAAAGCCGCGAGAGATTGCGAAATGTTTTATGTTAAACTTAAACAATTATTTATATGATTATATTTATCTTAAAAACAACATAATAGATTATGTGATTCATTCTTTAAATTTGTTTGAAAACTTCTTAACATAATAGTGAACTAATATTTGTACTGACACATGACTGACTCAGAATTGTTTACACTAAAAAGATGATCATACAGTTTTGTTATAAAAGTTTAATTCTCTATTTGCCCTATTATTTTTTACTATCATTTTGATTCAAATACTTCTTTCTTGCTATAATGTTGTTTTCCATTGTCTACAGGCGTTAGTAGTGTGCGCGTGCGCAGTGTTGGCGACAGCAGATTACAACCTGGGTCTAGGTTTCTCTGACGGTTACCTAGCAACCAATTTTGGTTCACCAACTCTTAATGCTCTCTCCTCGGCTGGTGCTAGGGATCCCAGAGCAAACAGAGGTAAATAAATAATAAAGATCGAAAATATGTTTCATCGTGTTATCCATATCTTCTTTGAATTGATTTCGCATTAATTCATACATATTTTCCGTTAAGTTACTAATAATTATTTTAAGTAACACTTCTTTTTTAACGTATTCTTTCTTTAATTGGTTTTCGTCTAGTAATTTTAATAATCTACTGAAAAAAGCTTCAATTATAGTTTTGTCGATAGATCTGTTCGTTGTCACCTAATATTATATCAAAGCAAAATAATCTATTGCTATTTTGAACAATTTCAACAATTATTCATTGCTAGATGGGTGTGTTTAATGTACGCTTAAATTGTTCAACGGAATTTATTTATGATTTAAGGCAAGTCCGATTCCGTCACAATTTAATACTATGTTTAAATAGATTTGAAATTTAAAAATAAATTGAAGTCAATATTGTTTTAAGAATTCGACTACGAAAGATGAATTGATTCCCGAATAAAGAGATATTGATGATTTAAGATTCATATAAAATAGTGAGGATGCATTAATTCTAGTTTATCGTTACTGTTATAATTAAGCTTTAATAATCCAATTACTATTGAATTAACGAACTATTCAACCTTCAATATTCATTGTACTGATTGATTAATGATATACTTTATTATCATTAATTAATCATTAAAATAGTTTTTTTATGATTGCATGTAAACGAATTATAACAAAGGATACATTAATTTTACTTATTTTATTAATTATAGTAATGTATATTTTAATTTCGTTTCATATTTTTGATGAATCAGTTTGTCAGGAAGTAGTAGGTATTTAATCGTATTGATTGGGAGTATTTCATATTAATAGCTCGTTCTTCATTTAAAAAATTCTTTCCATATTCTACATATTTAATATAAAGAAAAGTTTTCGTTTGCTGCGACATAAGTTTTCAATGCATCATAAAAAATAATTTACATTTAATACTTACCTATATAAAGTTTATAAAACGGGCCATTTTAAAGAAAATAATTCTACAAAGATTGTTCACGAAAATCTCACTATTGTATTTTAAGTCAGCGACTCTCAAATGATTAGTTTACTATCGATAACAATGCATTGTAAGCTGAGTGACGTAATTATATATCTAATATGGCGATAGACTCAGATGGTAGAGCTATCATGTCTTGTATATCTACCACCAATGGGCCAATTAAATTAATTAAGATGAGAAGAAACTTTAAATTTAATATTTTATTAACTCATTTAGTAAACAGAACCAATTTAGGGTACATTGTGAAAGTTGGGTGCGGTTTAGTGACTTACGTTTGTAAAACGAATGCACTCAGCTAATTGTTCGCAACGACATGTGCTCATATTACGAAACAAACGTTACATTCACAAATACTTTCGCAATATAGTGTTCCTTCTTGTTTTAACTTTATGCATTTTGTTAATTTGCTAAAACATTAGAACGGCCGGTTGATATAGACTAGTCGCTCATAAGAGTGATCGCTTGCACATAGCTTAAAAATATATTTTTTGACCCAATGCTTACTAAAACTTTGTTATTATACCTTTTTATTTTATTAATAAAAGGTTATTTGAAGATAATCGTGATCTCGAGTAAATATAATTGTATAAATTTCAATCGCAGCAATAGACTAACTTTAGTAACTAAAATATCATCTTCTATTCAATATTCTATATTAATAATTCAACTTTGTCTTCATGATCTGGTATTTAAAATCTTTGTTTTTTACCAAAAAGGTTTTATATAAATTAAACATCGATGCTAAGCAGGTTACATAATTTCTAACATAAATTATAACAATAAAAAAAATTTAAGGTTTACTTGTGTCGTTTTAGCTATTATCTGCATTTGACACAAATAGAGCTTTACGCAAAATAAATTATGTCTCAAACTCTCAATACAGGAAAGGACCGATTTAAATTTACGAGCGTCTATTTCAAAAGAATCTTACAATCTTTGTTGTAACATTTCCTTCTTAATTTATATGTAAATCCATTTGGTACCGTTTATATCAGCTATACTCGTATTTTGTGGTTCATATTTAAAGTTCAGTTGTTATTACATCTCCTATATTATATCACTTATTCAAGAAATTATTAAATGTTAGAATATTACGAAATAATTAGTAAGCTTCTGCTTCGATTATGAATTTCCTTTTACTTCGGTTCAATAAGCTTTTTTGTGTTAAAAGTATTGACTGCGTTAATAATTAAAGTAAATGAATGAAGAAATATTTATATGTTTAAGATTAAAATATTTTATCACACGTACAATGCTGTTTAACTAACGCTATTTGCTTTAATCTTGATTTAGATAAGCAAAACATTGTATGCAAAACGAAAAGGGTCGACACAAGTTACGCTTAGTCGGGCAAAAACAGTTGCTCGAATGTTTTGCAAAGGACATCCCTCAATCAGAATTAATTGTTGCGGGACTAATGAGTATAGCATGCGGCAGCTGCTATATTTTGAAATGTTTGACGTGCGATAGAAAAAAATTATCATCACTTAATGATTATTATTAATCTATTTCCAATAGATAAAGCAATGAAAAAAGAATATAATTACAACATGCGTTTCTTTGTAAGCTAAGTTTAGTTTACATTAACTTAGTAAGTTTAGTGTATTCTAAAACTTATTTACAATCATACATATATTTAATGTCATCTCATTAAAGTTTATGATTATATTTAGTTTACTTCAAAGTAACTATAACTAACTGTATTAAAGATCGGTATTTTAATTATATTTTTGATTAACAGATATTAAATTTTGTGTACATTCGATCTAAGTAGAGATATCAGTACGTACCTGCATAAGAAAAAAAGCTTTACAATTTAAATCACTTATAAGATTTTAATGATAAGCTATTTCTTAACTTTTAATTGAGAGACGATGTCCTGATATTTCTTAGTCAAGAACAAATCTTATTTTAAAATACTTTCAATTACGATGCATCAGTTAAACAGTGGCTAAGTTGTATTGTTGCAATCTCTACTGACAAGACTTACGCAATATTGGCTGGGGATAGCGGTTTCTGTTCTTGTGTTTTTAATTCTTTAGAATCAAATACTAATGATGCTAGCCTCTTTACGTTCACAAGGTAATGTCTTATTGATCTTAAATATAACATACCTCATCATAAATCTATTTAATATTTGTTTTATCAATCAATATTAATTCTAAATCAATTATGGCATTGACTGTAATTGATAGTGTTGAACTTATATTTAATTTAAAATAATCATCGTCAAGAATCGTTAATAATGTTACATAATGGTAATATTTATATATATAATTGGTTCGACCAGTTAAGGATTCTGTTATTTCAATGTCATACCCAATCACATAACAACGAGTCGGCTTATAACGGGATTTGTTGTTATTGGATGTAGGTAAATTATATTAAACGGGACTAGCTGTTGTAGACGTGATTCTCCATTTGTTTTTATCATGTTTAAACCAACAATAAAATTACTTGCCTTTGACGTGCAATTCTAAGCTCAAAATAATTTGTAATGTTACTTCCTGGAACTTTGTCCGGTCACGAATAATGAAATTTATTAATATTAATTAAACATTTTAATTATACATTTATTTTATCTATTTCTCCAATATGCAATGAATATTGTCGTAGAAATGTTACATAAATTTATTTAATTGGTAATTAACAAACTTATATCCATTGGTTTACCTTTCCAAATATTTTAATTGGGTCCGTGTCTTATTACGAAATAAATTTCATAAATTTGATATAAAATGTATTTTAAACTATTTTATAAGCAATGTCAAAATGTTTCTAGGTTCAGTGACTGTTCTTGTATTACTAAGAGATATCTCATTGTATTGTTAAGGCCAATATTTCACGGCTTATTATCGTCATTATAAGCATCTGGTAATGACCGCTTTATTCGTTTCGGTTAATTTAGTTATCCTGTTAGAAAGTATATGTCTGAGTCCTTGTTATTTTACAGTTATAGTTTTGGAAATGTTAACTATAATAGTAGAACGAAATGTTGATGTTTTACCATTCAATACTTGTTTTATAAAGAAATATCTTCATGATTTTCTTGTTTGTTTTAAATGAGTAACAACGAAATTTTTATTAACGTAATTCTTACCATTACTGGAATTAGTACTTCAATCGCGGATATATTGTTAATAATGAATTTCGAAATAAATCTCGATGCACTTAGAGCGATATTTTTTTTTATAAGAAGTGAACAATTGAATTGCACAATTTTAATTACCCACCTTTCATAAACGAGTGGTACAGCATGGAACACATTTTTTTAATAATAATAACAGGCGTTTTGATCTTTATCTACAAAGTAATATGAACTATTATTGGACAGTGGACATTTGTAATACGTAAATAATTGTAAGAATACCCTTGAATGACAGAGTTATTATAATGAGTCCTACTTTTGCCATATTATTTGCTAAAGCAATACTTAATGTTGTTAATAATGCAAATGATGTAATTAGTTTTTTAATAGCTTTAAAGTCATTTCGGGACATGAAAGTGATCTAACATAATATATGTGCTTTTAAAATATATGAGATCTCGTAATTCTGATTTATTTCAAACTGTTTATTAATGTCATACATATAATAAATATGTGTAAAATATGAAGATGGGAAATGCTGTTTCATTCGATTTCGAATTTTATATAACGTGATATTTTTACACTTTTCACTTAATACGTAACCGGTCACCATATTTTTGGTACATTATATTGAATAACTTTTTCAATATGTTTCCTTTCTTACATCTTTAATGTTTATTTATAAAGTTTTAACGTTGAGTGGTTATTAAATGATCAATAAAAATACAATAGTGGTAAGAATATTAAGTAACTACAAGAATGTAGAAAACAATTCTTCTGCAACGACGAAGTAAAATTCATTTACTTGATATATATTGTTGTTAAAATTATCTATTATCTCTAGAGGTCACTTCCAAGGGAAGGTTTTAAATTCATTTTATTTAAACTTTAAATAATACACTATTATTGCAATTGTTCACTTTGAAATCTGAGGTTTTGTTGAATTAACTATTATATAAGTAATTCAATTGTATTTATATGTCAATATATATTTTTTATTATAATTTTGTTTAGCGTTAAACAAACAGCTATTAAAATATGAATCTTAAATCAAATTTTACTTGTTATGTATCTTGATATAAATTATATTAGTTGACTTTAACTGAGGTCAAGTTTTTATTAATTCAATGTGACATTTTTTTTATTATATTTTTATGTCACTTTTTATATATTCAAGCTGATATTTATTTGTATTTGTAATATTGATGTTACAGGCCCTGTTGTTTTCCCTCCATCACCACCCGGGGATCCTTCACAGACCAGTGGAGTTGTCGTTGGAGCTTCAGGTTATGGCTTCCAACCCCCCGGCGCCCAAGGTAAATACGGCCGTAGATAATTTAGCACAATTGTAGACTAATATAATGAAATTCGACAGATATTGCCATTCTTTTATAAGACCAAACAGTTATAGTATCAGTGATTTCTTTTGTTTTTTTTTAGACTCTTTTGCACCTATTTATGTTTTTCTTAATTTATTTAAAGCCATGTTCCGATTATATGTAATAGCAATAAATACACCAAGGAATAAATGCTTTAAGAGTAAAGTAGTTGTTTCTTAGTGGGACTCATAATTTATTTTTAGTATTTGTAAATAAGTAGACAATGCTTGCAGTAATGCATGATCTTCGCACTTTTATTAACTTATATGAGCATGCATGTGTGTAAATGAATAATTTGGATCACAGGGATGTTCATTAATCTTTTACAGTTTTTTTCTTTTGTGTTAAATATTTCTTAAGACATTTTTGTTTGTTGTTCAACTGGAAAACTATGTAAATATTATTTATGTTTTAATAATAAAAAATAAGAATTTTCACATGTTTTATTAGTCCTTTTCTCATATATCTTGTGCAATTATTGCATGTAACAATTTTATTACTGTTTACTTTGTTTTTTTCTTACTTCTTATTCTATTTATATATATATTGATCACATGTAACGTAACATAAGTTTATGCATGTCTAAATGTTTGCATGTTTATTTATTATGGCATATTTCGTAGTTCGATGGCGGATGTAAAGTATGTTAAGTGATAGTTTTGTAATGAATCACGCTGCCAGCGGTCAAACAGCCTAATCTGGTGTCATGTAACGTTCCGGCATGCGCAGGCGCAAATGGATAGTCTGACCTTCGCGTGTAACTCGTTTCCCTCTGCTATTATTATATATTTTTTTCATCAGCTGTTCGATCACGATTTGACAGTTGTTATTTTTGGTAGCTCTGTCTATAGACAATTTAATCAATAGTTCTTTTGTAATGTAATTATAGTGTTGATGTCTTTAAAATTAATATTTTAAATAGTAATAATCGTAAAATAATCGTTTTTTTTTCATCAGTAGCGATATTTTAATAAATAATTAAATATTAAATTGCTGCAGATAAGATTTTTGACCGATTCCCTGATAGAGCTTTGTAGTATAAATGTTTAAACAATATTAAATTTCATACTCTTACTTACTCAAAAAAAATGCAAGATAATATATTTATAAATAACCTAGAGATATAATTTTTTTGAATTATAATACATACTATCAATTAATTCTGATAACTTAAATTAAATCTTATTTCCAAAAAAGTGAAAGATCAATTTTAATTGTACCCATATATACTTTTATTACAATATAACATTTAGCTCACGATTTACCTGAGATATCTATGTGTTTGGTTGTTACTATAAACAACTAAAACCTTGTTGCGTTTATATATAATCAAACTGTCTATCGGTTGTCAAACATTATCTCCACCGAAACTATTTTGATCTAAAGTTCAAGTAACTATGTCTACTATAGACTGTCCTACATTTATTTGACGCTGTAAACAATAAAATTATTTAAAGTATTAAATCTGGTACATTTCATAATATAATTAAGGAAGAAGAAAGGAATATTTTCAATATTTTTTTTATTAACTATCAAATATGGAATGAACACTTCCGAAAAGTTTTGGTATTATAATCTTGGTATTTGTTTGAAAATTAAATTCTTCCAATGCATCATGATAGGAGGTTAAAGTCGTTCACAATAAAATTAAAAAGTAACAAAATTCATTCTGTTGATATACGTATTATTTTATATTTTAATTTAATTCTGAGTAAGAAATTTTGAAGTATCTTGTAAGAAGATAAACATTTAAAATTTGCTATATAACATTTTCTTCTTTTGTTTGTTGCTCTTGCTTTGTAAGCTTAATTACTAAATTATAGTTCCTAGGAATTCAATATTATTTCCGAGGGCTGTTGATTCTTCTAAAATTGTTCAGTAGTTTTGCATGATTGAGTAAAAAACACACAGACATAAAAAGATTCACGAAATCACCATTTTGTCATATTTATTTACTTAAAAACTTCTGATTTAGTCAATTTAAAATTTTAAAACTTTTTCGGTGATGTCTCTTAGGAAACCATTTTTTCGTAAACCTTTTCATTTAATTCAATACGTATTACGTGAACCTTATCTTCAGCCGACCCTTCGACATCCGTATGAATTGTATATATTATTCATTATCACATCCAACAATGAATATGAATGGATGGATTCCGATTATTAATTTCGTATGTACGTTTTTTTTAATTATATTTCAGTATTCGATGACTCTATACATTTCAAGCCGGTGTTAACCCGACGGTACGAATATTTAATTTGGGCTCTCTTAATCTCGCTGGCCCTTCGTACGGTCAAACGCATTTTAATTATAAAATTGACATATCAAAAGTGCGGAGGGATCGGTGACGTGTGTATTATTTAATAAAAGAGTTTGTACTTGTAAAATTAATTGGAGTCTGGACTGCCTCTGCCATTTCAGGGTGGACCTTTGTGATTATTCTATGCATATTTATATGTTTGTTTAAAAACGCAGGCTCTGTGCACATTTTAAATTAATTTAACAGTCAATGGAAGCAGATGTTCCCTCAAGCGTGACACGCACGGTGTGGGTTTTAAAATTACTATAATTGCTAAGTTAAACACAGCCTTTGTTCTTCCTGTGTTTAATAATGAAAATTTTAATAAAACTTACTCAGGCATCCAATAATTAAAAAATTAAAAACTAATAAACACAATTATGATGCGATTAATTAATAGGTAATAAAATAATATATATTTATTACTATTTCAAAAATCTGTTAAAGGCCAGATAGAAAATTATATTTTCCATTTAACTTTGCTTGTCTTATGTTTAGTTAATCTTATTATAAAAAGACATCAATATTGAAAATAGGGAATAAATTAATAAAAAAATTATTTATTTTATTCAAATCATTATTATTGTTTGTATTTTTTAATAATTTTTATTATGTAAATTCATATTCATATTCAATATTCGTAAATTTGTTTATAGAAACGGGAGTTAAAATATATTTTAGATAATTGATAAGAGAGAATCCTAGCTGAATAACAAAAATAATGTAAGATTTTGTTTCAAATATTTAATTATATACAGATTCATAAAATCAATATACTAACATAATATTATCTACTTATAAAAAATATATAAGTACTCGAATTATTAACAGAATTGACGCCATGCACGTGTTATCAAATTATATGAATCTAATGTGTTAAAAAAAATAGAATGAAACCTTTGTTATTAAGGAAAACGATGAAAAATCGTGACAAAACATATACAATTATTTTACAATTCTTTAAAAAACATATAAATATATAATAACACTTCAAATTACTTAATAATCTCTTGAATTTTTTTATGATATAAATTATTAAGTAATAAAATTATTTAAATTCGTATTCATAACAGAAAAAAAAAAACAAAAAGCCAATAGGAAATTGACTGTTATGTTTATGACGTCAATGCTCGCCTTACAATATCGATTACGAAATTGTTCGGCCACAACGTTTTTAGGAAAATTGGTCTTTTATGGAATGTTGATTAATAATTATTGCAAAATATTTCATATTATTTAGATTTAAAATGACCTCATGTTATCCTTTTTAAATAATACTGTATTGTTATTTCCATATCATGTTAAATACGTAACATATGACTCTATCGTCTGCTAATTCTCTGATTTTTTGAGTATTTTTTGTCTGTAAATTTAAGTGTAATCTCTCATAGTGATCATTGGTTGGTTTTTCTTTTATTAAAAATTAATAGTCTATTTTTTCAGCACTGTATATATAAAATCTAAATAAAATGCTCACATTTTTGTTTAATATTTTATGTACCCAGTTATGTCATCTTGTATATCTACTAGGATTTTGACAATCATATTCTTGGATTTGATAATTTAATCTTTTTTGGGTTCAGTCAGTCATTCTAGTAATTTTAGTATGATATTAAGGTAACGAAGTCAGAAAACAATTTTTAATACAGCTTTGGGCTAAGGCCGACAACTGCTATATCTAGTAACCGTTGCTATTAACCTTTGAAAATATTGAATAATGCATTTTATGATTATTTGAATGTTTGCAAAGTAGGATATTTTTTTTTTTTTTTTTTTTTTTTTTTTTTTTTTTTTTTTTTTTTTTTTTTGATGACGTAGTGGAAACTCTTTTTACGAGCCGTCCAACCGACCTTGGTGGGGCCGGAAGGGATGTGTGAGGCTCGGCCTGGGCAGGCCCCTACTCACTAAAACCACTGCGAAAGCCATCGGCCGCTATGTCGGTGTACCCCGGATCTGTCAGCGACAGGGCACACCAGCGACTGGCCGGTCCTGGCAAAGACCGGACTTACTCCCTCGGAGCATGGGGGCGATCCCGGCAATTAGGACCACCCCGACGACGCCGGGCTTTCAAAAGGGCCGGGTTACCACGCCGACCCCAGCCCGGAACACAGGGGTGCTATTGGAGGCGTAGGAATTGCCTCCGTCGCACCCCCGTACGTCGCCTGCGGGGGGAGGGAGCATCAGCCGCCCTCTCCCTTTCCCGCTGAGATGCCTCCTTCGTGGACATGACCGTCTCACAGAAGGAGGACACCGCCAACCAGGACCCATCACTCTCGAGCATCTTCTCCACGACACTCGAAAGCGACAGGTCCACTCCGCCGAGAGCCGCCACAAGGTCTTGGCGCTGCGCAGCCCATCTCGGGCACACCTCGAGGGTGTGCTGGGCCGAGTCCACCGCAGCGCCGCACTCATGGCAGCCTTCTCCCGGCTCTCTCCTGGCCGTCCGACACAGGTAGTAACCAAAGCACCCGTGCCCGGTTAAGACCTGCGTCAGACGGAAAGTGAGGGGTTTGCGTTTCCGCCTCATCCAACGCTCTAGGACCGGGCGAAGCGCTGCCGTTGTACGTCTACCGTACGGCTGCTCCGCCAGGTCCTCCCCCCACTCCCGCATAAGGCGCTCCTCCCCCTGCCGACGAACCGCTCGGATCTCCTCCGAC